CTGCATGTGAGTGTATACTTACTCATTTTAAGCATAACTTAATTTACCTTACCTTAACAATAAATTAGTTACTTGGCGTCAAATCAAATATTCTTTCATGCTTTAATTGTTGGAGGTAATATATTAAAAACGGTTTAAGGCAATCAGTTTCCTCAAACAGTTTGAGTTGAACTAACTCATCAGGTTTTACTTTGCATGAGTGGATATATCGAGCATGCAAATGAGAATATAGTAAAGCCTTGCAACATTCTGGGCCAAGATAAATTCTGAAGAAACAATTGTCAATCATCTGTACATAATCAGCGTATGCCCTTTGAGAATTTCAATGCTCATTCTGTATGTAAAATCATGTTTCATTAATGCAATCTATTTACAAAGACTGAGTACTTTTATACATACAATCCTTTGTCTTATATTGTACAATACTTACAGTTACAGCATTGAATCATGGTGTTAACACCTCAATACAAAAAAATAAAGAATATCATATATGTGACCAGGCAGGATGTCTGATGCTGGTTTCAAAGTATTTCCTACACAGCACAATCATTCAAACAAAATGTCATAGCTGCAGGTAAAGGGATTTTTGAAAAGGCAGTCAGTCAGATAATATCAAGAAGGAATCATCAAGAGGGTCTTTGTTTTCTCATGGAAACACATGGCATCTATCTGCTCTGTGAGCTGCTCTGAATTCTTTATCACAGTTACAGTATGGATGTCACATCAAACACAACAACTCACATGTGCTAAAGTGTCCATGCCTGGCTTTCACTAGGAGTTAAATAGATCAAAGTGTATGCAGTCAAAGAAACGCATCAGTAGGTACAGTATCTCCCTGTGGCTGTGATGGTTGTCCTGTCCAGAGAGCCTTCAGTGACTAACTAAAGGATGGTACAGTGTCTCTATGTTCCAGTCCTATTGAAGTTAATGTGCTCATCGCTGCCACTGGAGCCTCCCATGTTAATGGCCCTGCATCCAGCCTCCTGGAAAAACTCCAGGTTTGGATAAAAACTCAAAGATATCTCCAAATGTCTTCAAGTTTCCTTTCTGTGTCCTCATGGAGACAGTCTCTCGTGGCCCTACTTCTTAGCCAGTTGGAAAGGATGTTGACCCTTTAAACAAATACAGTTTAATCACTTCAGAAACAAACAAATCAGGGATACTTGTAATAAAAGGTTATTTATCATCAGTCTTTGATGTCCAGTGCATTTCCAGAGTTATTGTACCCACTTTCCCCTCAACCTGCCTTGTCTACTCCAACAAATTCGTCTTTCAACCTTACACCCCCTGGTGTTACAACTGATACATAATGATGCTGCAGTTGGTGACTTTTATAAAGAATAACTTATCATATTTGCTGAAACTTATACTAATACTTAAACTATAGTATGACTGTAATACATAAGATAGATAATCTAGTGATCCTAATGGCATTTGCAAGAATCCACTGGGCCTGATCAAAAACAACCAAGAGCCAAGAAAGATAGTTGATTGTTGAGTCTCATTTCCAGGGTCCCAAAGTGTCTATATTTTACACCCTAGGAATGAGACTCAACAATCAACTATCTTTCTTGGTTCTGATTGGTTGGTTTTCACGGATTATCTGTCTCATGTACTAATGTCAGGATATAGTGAAAGTTTCAGATAATATGAAAAAAATATACATTATAAAAATTACTTACTGCAGCTTTAAGGTTCCATTTCATTCAAGCCAAACAAATTCAGTGTGCTGCTATTGTGCATGTTGGCTAACTGGAAAGACTCGACAATGGCCTTCAATTCACATGACAACGCTGTTTTGGGGGCCTGAAAACGCAGTCTTTTGAAGTGCCAATGTTACCATTGTAGTGTAAATTGCCAAAATGCTGTTGCTGTGACAACACAGACACACTTCACGCACTACAACTATTGTCAGCCAAATAACCATGCATGAAACAGATAAACAATGGCAGACTATCAAGCTAAGTTTGTGCTGCTGTTGAGTTTATCAGCACTCCTCCAGTAGAGTAGCTGCACCATTACTGTGATCAGCAGAGACGTTCATGTCTCATTTAAAACCAAAACTCAAAGCTGACTTCTTTTAAGGTAATGTAAGATACGTTTTTATGCCTAAACCTAACCTAACCTAACTGTGACCGTTTCATAACATTGACAACTAAAATCAACAGAAGTTAATAGAAGTATTGGAGTATGCCCATAATTTGAAAGTGTAAAGTTGTGTTATTTGTACGCAGATTGAGATGTAATGCTTTAAAATGCCTTACTCATAAGTATACTGTCTCAGATCACTCAGCCTGTGGGTTCCTGAGTTCCTGAGTCGTAGCTCAGAATGTCATGAATGACATTTTATTTCTTATGCTTCAGCCTGCCTGCCACAATGACAGGTGCATTACACTCGCTTTCAGTGCTTAAATGGTAATATTGCATTTTCATGTGATTTGTGTCTATATTGTTTTACTGTGCTGGATATAGTTTGTCAATGTGATGTTGTGTCACTCTGTCATTCCCAGATCTTTCCTTTAGATTTAAATCCTTAGATCTGGTCCTTGTGATACTGTCTACCAAGCACAAATATTGTCTCATTAAAAAAAAAAAACCACTTAGTCCATGCTGTGAGGAACACTCTAATTCATCTTTAAATCAAAGAGCGTTAACATGCTTTAGAGACAATCAGCAAGCCAATATTAGTGACCGATCCCATGTGTAGACAGGATTAGGTGTATGTGAGCAGCTATTTTACACTTTAAGACCAAAGATTCACGACAAGTTTTAGAACATTGCAGTGAAAAGTTGCAGTGGTGTGAACTGGACGGTCTCAGCTTGACTCAAGCCAGCTGAGAGCATCGCAAATGCAACTCAGCCAGTGGCTGGTTGTAGAACCTAAGGCATGTCACCTGTTTTAACAGCCAATCGGCTCATAGTGAAGTTAGCGCCTAATTTTCAACCTTATTATTTTGAAAGTTTTCATTATTTCATCAATAAAATGCAACTATAGCAAGAAACTCCCTGTCATTATCCTCATTTTATATTTTAGGGCACTAAAAATGTTTGGTCTGAACTGAGCTTTGACAGTTTTAGATGATAATTAAGAATCAATGGTCCTGTGTCACTGGAAGTTCAAGGGGTGCTCAGTAAGACCTAATTGCGAGCACAGGTTAATCTGTACTGCAACTACGCCAGATGCACGATGAAGTTACCTTATGAGATTAACACAAAAATGCCTTTTTTATACAAATGTATACCATACCAAACCATACATTTAGACTCTCCAATAATACCTGTTAGTCTACTGCTCTATCAATGCAGACATTTTGACATGTGACTGTAGTAAAAGCACAGGTGTAAATACCAAATTAATTCCATTTAGCATGAAGCCATTGTTAATGTTATAAACTGTGCTTTTTCTTCTAGAACATTGGTAGGCAACCTGCTAAAGGGCCACATGTTGCCCTTTAAGCCCTCTCCAGAGGCTCCCTGTATCCTTGACAAAAACTATATGGAAATGGAAATGTTTTGTAATTGTAAAAATGTGTAGCCAAAATTTTTTCAACTAATATGTGCGTCATACATGGCGTCCTGATCTGGTGCCTTTTTCTCTATATTTTGCAGAACCTCAACAGCTGTGGCTTCCAGCCTTAAGTCTCTGTAGCTAGGCTTGCTATGGATTCCAAATCCCCAAAAAATAAAAGTCCCTGAGCATAATACAATATTTAATATTGTGTGGACAGATTTGTTTGCTTTTAACAGTGCTAGCTTAGCTAGTTTGATCTGTGGCTAGAAATTAGCATTGTAAGGTTTAAATATATTTTGCAACTCCAGAAAGATTTTTCATAATAAAGTTCACTGACCCCTGTCTTAAGACAAAATCCTCTCAAATTGGGGGTATGTGGTCTAATGTGGGGATTTTCAACATGAAAAAGTTTGGGAACCCCTGATCTAGTGGCACTCTCTAGCCTCGACAGAGTAGGTTTAAAACAATTTTTGAGAACAAACGCAAATTCATCAGAAATGTATATTTAATTATGATTGTCATTTTGACCACAATCGACATTTTTAACATTTAGAACATATGATCAATATGAAAGCAAAATTAATGCCAGCTGGTGACTAAGGCATGAGTTAATGTGAGGTACTGTGCAGAAACAGGACACAATGAATATTTTATTGCTGGCAAGGATCCAACAAGAATCTTTCATGGCAACATCAAATTCAGGCAGAGCAACACACAAACAAAGCTTTGTCAAAGAGCAGCAGCATATAATGGACCAAGCTCCACTCCGGCTAGTCCATCCATTTCTTCAACACTAAGTCACTTGGTAAAGTTAATGAGGTTAGCTTAATGAGCACAGCTACTCCATGAAAAATGCTTGTGGATAAAATGTTCTATAGTTCTTAATAAAAATAAACAAATCTCCATTGTCCAAGCTGATTACAGCTTTCTTCATAAATGGATGAGACAATGTGACGATTGCAGCAGAATGCCTTAAGGGTGAGCAGCAATATTTCCGTCCAACAATACGGGCTGTATACTGTGCCTCAGAGTAGAAGACAAACAAACAACAAACACTACAGTTAATACACAGAGCCTGAAAGCTGTAAAGCAGAAAGTGGCTGCCCGTAAAATTTGGCAAAAGTATTTACGAATGAACTGAAACCAGAGGGAATATACAAGAAGCTAAAACATAGAGCTGTTGCTTTCCTGCTGTACAACTTAACATTTCGTTTTCAGGGTCTTTCATGCCTTAACGTTAAAGCTTCAAACGGTTAACAGACCTTGGTTGACACCCTCCTCCAGGACACAAATGTTGGCTTTGGATATTTGGAGCAAACTGTGATTGTCTGGAAAACTTGATTCCTCATGATCATTGAAAAAACAGACCTCAGAGACTGAATTAAAGGCTGTCCCTTAATGATTGATTAACACACCACTAGGCATGGTGTGGTTTGAATATAATTTTGGATGTTTCAGTCTAAAGTTAAGTTGCTATCAACAATAACAATAAAGCCATACCAGTCAAACCCTAATTTGCATTACTTGTGTGTCATAGAAGCAGACCCTAGTGATAGCAAAGGTCCTTACACCCAATAGTTAGATGACCCAACAGTCAACATATTTTTTCAAAAAGCATTTAGAGTTTGAGTTTGTCCTGAGGTACGAACTGCCAAAATGTCTGGGGAGTACTTTTTGTGTATAAACTGAAGGTTGGTACTGATTGTGGCAATAAAGGAACCAGCCTAAATCTTTAGGGATCACCCTCTAGGGACCATGTTTATCTAAAGCAAATTTCCTGGCACTCTGGACATTGTTTTTGAAGTAAACTCAAGGGGAAAGTTTGACTCGACCAGAATCGAGAAGTTACTAGAATAAGAATCGCCTTAAGAATTATCTTGGATTTGTGAAAAATGATAATAAATTGTCCATAAGGTGAAAAGATGTTGAGTGCATAATCACGTCAACTCATCTTACCCCAATTACAGTTCATAGTGCAAAAACGAGGACATCAATCTACCCACCGACATTGCCAGGTGTGTTAGTTACCATGCCTGGCAAAGCTGAAGGCCATGCCATCAGGAACTGAAAATATGAAACTAAAGACTGATTCTGGGTTTTTGAGGCCAATACAAATATCAATGTTAGGGCATTATCTTGCTCTGGACTGATGGAAATAACATTGATAGAATAACATTGGCACCCTAAGATACTACCATTAATGGGACAATATCTCTGCTTTAGGTCTTTATGTTCATCAGTACAATATGAGCACATGACCAACAAATTCAAAGTGCAGACTTTAAACAGATTTGTGTCACTGTGTAGATATTTACTGTAATTGAAACAAGTGTATATGCAGTGCTTGTCCATGTTTGTTTTCCAACACTTGATCACATAGAGGGGAGTTCGACTAAGGCTTTCCAAATGCTAACACATAATCTTTCCAGCCCCACAACTCAGTGCAGCATGGTCTATTACAACAGAACAAAACAACATAATACAATAAGTTAATAAGCATTATCCACTTCACATTATGCACAAATATCATGCATATGTAGCCACATTATAATTTTGATTTATCCGATCATATTAAAATAATGCAAAGATATAAAAATCCAATACATAAACACTATCATATGTATTAAAATAAACAATCTGTACAAAAATCTTGCCATATATTTTTTTTTTTTTCAATTTTTTGTCCACGTATAACAGAATAGGGAAAAAGTAAAAAAATAAATATCCTATGTACAATCACACAAGCCATTCCAAAGTTATCGTCACTGCAAGGAGAAAGCAAAATACAAATGTTAGTTCAAACAATGTTCAAGGTGATGTTAGCATACAGTATGTGAGCTGCTACAGTGGTGAGCAACACAGTGTCAAACTCTCCCACTTACTTTATTCCAACATCCCGGTACAGGTAAGCCATCGTCTCCCTAGAAAGAAAAATAAAATGTAAAATGAAAAATACTACGCTGCAGAGATGAACAATATCACCATTCCAGTGTATAAGGCATACACGAGCAGTTTAAAATTATATATACAGTTTCAAAAAAGTTTACATTACAATTCTCTTCACATAGTAGCAAAGCTGTATGAGTTATTTTGGCCATCCGAGGTTTCTGGAAGTAAAGTCCTGTTACATTTCTGCATATGCTTTGTAGGTCTGTGTCTGAATCAGAAACATATTTCCTAGTCATGTGTTAGTGGTTCCATCTTTTTGTTATCTAAACATACTTTTTGTTTTTAATACTCAATACTGTGTGCAATGTTTTATGTTGAGTATATTAGAATCAGGATTGTAGCTACGATCATAGATACAGTATGTGGAAAGTCATGTCCTCGGTTGCAGGTTGTCTAACATAAGATTTTGCATTTAAACAATAATTAGATCATTTGTCCATCTTGCACAATATTGTTTAGTTTTTATTCATTGATAGAACAAAATGACATTTCGTCAGTTCTCATTTTCAAAGGTTACTTTTAATGTAGTTTGGTGTCATAAAAAAAAACTTATAATTTGTAGAAATAAGTTCACTTTTGGAACTTGGGTCAATTTAGGATGAATTTGGTGACAAAGATTTTTAAATTAGCTGCAGCTCTGATTTGACTGACCTGTTCACCATACCATCAGTCATGGGTATTGTAATATTTGCCAGAAACAAAATAAAAACTTTCTTGAAATTGTTTCTATGTAAATGAACATGAAGAATATCATTAAAATAATTATTTGATGTAGCTGGAATTACTCCCAGAACCAGCTGATTTCCCCAACTTTGCTCTAAACCGTATATACCCAATTTTGGGTATAAATTAGGGGTGTAACGATTCGTTTT